TGGCAAGAAGCGCAAGCCCTGCAGGGAGCAGGGCACACCAGAGAGGAAAACTTCTCTTCCTACGCATTTCACCATGCTTTAAAAGGCAACATGAGGTTGTATTTGAGGCAGTTACGTAATCTTGACTTTGCAGAAGAGGAGTTTCCTACACAAACATTGACACTGGGGGGAAAAAAAGGCATTCTCTTTGCAAAAAGGGGAGATTTTACCCACTGACCAGGGGAGATGGAGTTCAACGGCTGAGGGGTTTCTGTTGGTTTTTAATTTGGCTTTGCATGGGTCAGTCCTGGTACCCTGGGAGACCAGGGGAGCTGTGCAGGGAACGGAGCCCAGCGCGTTGCAATGAGCCCCTTGGAGCCCCGCGTTTGTGCTTGGCCAAACAGCAGCTCTTGCTTGATCAACACCATTGGGAGCAAGTGACCACTATTTACCTTCTAACTCCTTAGAAGCAGGATTTCCAAGAGGGACTTAAAGCAGGTGCCTACTTCATATAGACTTTTAATTATATTTGACCACCTACCTTCAGGAAGCACCTTTAAAACCCCACTTGGACATGCTTTGACGCAGAGCAAGCAGCGCTTCCGGGCCTCAGGATGTCGTTTGTCCTTGGCACCTTTTTAAACAGAGGGTGAAAGATCCTCCTTAGAAGCAGGATTTCCAAGAGGGACTTAAAGCAGGTGCCTACTTCATATAGACTTTTAATTATATTTGACCACCTACCTTCAGGAAGCACCTTTAAAACCCCACTTGGACATGCTTTGACGCAGAGCAAGCAGCGCTTCCGGGCCTCAGGATGTCGTTTGTCCTTGGCACCTTTTTAAACACGGGATGAAAGATTTGCATGTGCTGAAAGACTAATCTCTGCTTTGGACAATTTGTAGACCGCAGAGCAGGAGCTGCTCGGCACAGCAGGAGAGACAGCCAACCTGGAGGGCAGCCCGGGCATCCCGCCGGGCAGGGCTCCGCTCATCTGCTGCACGGAAGAGCTTGATCAGGACACCTTTAAAATTGTGAGACACCAACTGGATTTTAGCAATAGAGTTAAAAAAATGACATTAAGCTGTCCTGAGAGAATGAGCAAGTCAAACTCAAGTTTCGCAGAGGGAGCAAAGAAACACAAAAAAACACTTCATTTTGGAGCCACATCCTTCCACATCTGAAAGTTTTTGACCTCCTTGTTGTTTTCTAGTCTACTGGGCATGATACTGGCTGTTTTTTCATAAATTAACAAAAATGCATCACCAAAAAAACCTCTTCACATTCCTTGTGGAGTTTTGGAAACATGTACTGCCATGTTATTTTTTTTCCATGTAGTGACACATGCACCCCAATTTTGGTTGTTTAGTTGATCTGGATCATTATGACCTGCAATAAAAGTGAATTTCCCAACGTTCCTACAGAGGAACCTTGTTTCCATTTCTGTTGCATCGTGGCATAACCACACGCAACCCCAGTCTCGGTCTATTGCACACAACAGGAGGAGAAGAAAGCAAAAAGCAGAGGGCATCTGAACCACGTTGCTTGCTTTCACATACCCAGTTCCTGTCATGCACTGGCATTTGCAACATGCCCCAGGGCACGGGCACAGGAAGCAGAACTGTGTGAGCAGAGGTTCCCTTCCCCCTCCCTGCACAAACCATGGCTCTTTTGTAGCCCGAGATCTGTGCTTTGACCTATGATGTCAATAGGGAATCCCCAGTTTTGGAAAGCCCTAAGTTACCCTTTGCTTTTACATTTGACGAACTTCACTCTCGGTGTCACGGCAGGAAGGTACCCGAAACCTGCAGGCCCTATTCCCACCCTGCAGAAAATCCCAGCCCAAACCCAATTTTTGTTCACCCACGTCCACCCAGAAGATCACCAGCAGAATACAGGGTGCCCTTAATGTTTCTTCACCCAGCTATTTACTGAGTTTATATACTGAAGAATAAGGTCTGAGTGGGATTTTGAGTGCTAACCACAGCCATCTGAACACACTGAACTCTTTTCCTTCACAGTGTAAGGAGTTCTTGAGACCCTACAAAAAATCCCTTCGGAAACTGTACTTGCCGCAGCATGTGGCCAGAGAGAAGAAGCTCAGGTACACGCGGGAGAGCCTGACCCTGCTCGGGGACCACATCAGCATGTTCCTGGAGCAGCACTGCAAGCCTGCCGAAGTCAGCCACTGGAAGCAGTAAGGCCAAATATTCCCAAACGAGGGATAGGGTGTTGTGCCCAAGGCGCACGGAGCAGAGCTGGGAGCCCCTTGGGCTCTTCCAGCTTGAGACTCAAGTTGTTTGTGCCCCATGTGCTCAGGGAGGAGACACTGGGTGTTTTGGGGAGCTGCCTGGCAGCAACATCCCTTGGCAAGCGCCAGGGCGGCTGCTTGGCCACCCGAGGCAATGGGTAAACCTGCACATGCTTCAAAACGCACAAGCTTAGCCAAAACCTGTGTGCAGAGGGATCCCTGCTGGTTATCCCTGACAGCCTGGGGCTGGGAGGAAGTGTTGGGAGGGGAATGAAGCAGCCTGTACTCACGGTCGGCCTGTCCCCAGGATGCTGTGGACGTACGTCTCCCTCTTCTCAGAGATGGACGCGCGGCAACTGCACAGGCTGTACCGATACACCAAGAACAACCAAATGGATAAGTTTCTGGTAAGAAATTGGGACAGCTCACATCCAGCAAGGATTATTCGTACTGGACTATATGAAAGGGATATCTGTGCCATGGCTGGACAGTGTTTGGGGGAAACCTTTACTCCTGCTGAGAAGTCCTGTGGTGACTGGGGATCTGAGGTGACATCTGCCACACTGTTTCATGGTTTTGGACACTGTTTATTGACCCAAGCCTCTGTCACTATGCTCCTGACACAGGCATACATTACAGACCACATTTTAGCCTTAATTCTATTTGATCGTGGAAGAGACATGCTTTGTAACAAGCAGCTAATTCAGAAAGAGAAAGAAAGAGAGAAAAAAAAAGAAAGAGAGAAAGCAGTGCTTCCTGGGGCCTTTTTTTCTATGTCTCCACACCATCTGTAGAAAATGAAACTAGCAACGGGTTTCCTGAGAACACAAACTTCAGAGGGTTAATCCAGCCAAGCACGTTCATGGGCAGTTAGGAACATCTCTGCTGACCAAAGGCTGAGTGCTGGGGAAGCGAAAGGCCCTCGGGAAACACAGCCTTCCCCACGGAGCCAGGGGCTGAGGAGTCTGAGGCTGCAGGTAAACAGCTGCCTCTTCCGTTTGGAGAGAAAGGGGCAACCAGCTTTTGGTTTCAGTTTAAGAAGAAATAAAACAACTTGCTTATTTATAAGGCCAAATAGATATTTCCGACAAGAAGGAAAGCAAAGCTATGGTTAAAACACCAAACCTGCTCACACGCTGCTAGCGTGAGGCACCCCGGATTCACCAGGGATATTAAAATAGCCCTGGGAGCCAGGCGCAGCGGGAATTCTCGCTCCGGTAACTCCAGCTCTCCAGCGCTCCCGGCCAAGTCGGGTCCGTTTCCAGCACGGCCATTCCCAGCAGCTCGGCCTGGGCTGGGCCATGACCCGGGCTGAGGACAAACCCCACAGAGCCCGTTTTCCTCATGTTAGCTCTCCATACCCACCTTGAAGAGTAAGTATTAAAAGAAAAACAAATAAAAATACCATTCCATTCCCAAAACAAACTGCACAACCAAAGCACAGAATCCCGTATCGTGTCTCCCTCTCCATGGAGAGAAAAAAAGGAAAAAAAATTGTATGTGACAGGTATTAGTCATGCTGCATCGTGGGCTCTGGGAGCGCATCAGCGCGTGTCCACCAGCATCCACAGGAGCCTGCCCAGAAGAAAGGGCTGCCAGAGCCCAGGCTGCCTCCAAAGGGGCTGGTGGAAGCAGCGACAAATCAGCCCGTTATATAACGGGTGACAAATGCCTTTTGTGATGCAAGACAAGTGGGAGAAAATAAGCGTCTTTGCCCTTTGTGGGAAGGGAACGGCAGGCAGCTCCCTGCTCCACCATAAACAAGCGGCTGCGGATCGGAGCGGTGCCGGCACGCGCAATGCACAACAGAAATAGGCTGTTTGGAAACACCTCGTTGTTTAGATAAATGAGCATAAAAATACAGAATCGATGCCTACTGCGTAATTGAGATTGCCAGTATGTTAATTGGGTAAATTCATGAGTTTCTTTGCTTTTTTATTTTTAAACACCAGAGAGGCTTGCAGAATAGCCAAAGACTTAGGAGCACTCTGTAATTGAAAGATGAAAAATCTGCATTCCCTCTCCTTGCACTTGGGCTTCTGGGGCTTTTTGTTTTAAAAAGGGTATTTGTATTTCAACACTGGCCCCAATCCTCTGGCCTTGGGCTTCAGTACTGAAGTACCCAAGACCCAATTCTAGGGGCAGAACTGGAGCAGAATGACATTTTTATTTGAACTCCGCTTACTTCCAGACAAGGCAGAGAGCTCATTTGCAATAGAAATTATCCTTATATCGCAGCCTATTTCTTTGCTTTTTAAGATCATCTGTGATCCCAGATTTTTTTCCCCTCTTTTTTGCTCTCTTATTTTTCTAAAGAAACACCAAACCATGGCTGCTGGCAATGCCAACATGATCTTTTTCCCTGCGGGATCCATAGCGGGACTCGGATAACATCCCGCTGCAGCTGCGGCCCTGGCGCTGCCATAAGGCGACAGTGACATCCAGTGGCAACGCAGGCGGCGCGGGCGCCTGGCACCGGGGCGCTGTGGGACACGGGGGAGCCCAGGCTCAAAACACAGCAAATGGACCAGCCCCTAGTGAGCTCCAAGCATCTGGAAAACGATGGTGTTTCTCTGCAACAGGGATGCCGGGAAGAGGCTGGATTTAATCCATAGCCTCGAGTGGTGGCAGCGCTGGGAGCCCCCATTGCCCATGAGGGAGTCGGGGTTCACACCCTGCTCCTGGGGATGCCTTTCCAAGTGCCGCTTGTTCTCCTCCTCCAGCGACTGTACTGTCACCTGGAAAACCCCGATGCGGCTCCAGTATCCGAGGAAGAGCTGAGGACGCTCTATGATGCGTGGGGACTCGGCGGGGACGCGGAGGGACCCCCAGCGCAAGGACAGGGCCACCACAAACGCTCCTGCAAAGCGGCGCCCGGCGGCAGGGCCGGCCGCCGCCGGCCCGGCCGCCCCGGGGCCAGCCACAGGGAACGGCCGTGGGACGGGCTCTGGAGGCAGGAGGTGGCAGGGAGGAGGAGGGCAGGGGCCTTCGCCCGCTCTCAGGAATGGGCCTGTTTCCACATAGCAGCGCGGATGCTCAGAGCATTCCTGTGGGCCCAGCCTGGCTGCACACGCCGACGCGCCACGGCAAAAATGTGGAGCAACCTGTCGCGGGCGATGAGCCGAGAGCGGCCTCCCCGGCGCCGCGGAGCGGCCGAAAACGGCCCCGGGGAGCGGCGCCCCCGGCCGGTCCCACACAGCCTATTCTTGAGCTGCTCAAACAGTCACGCGTCCCGGGGGAGTTTTCACAGACCATCTTGCCTTGCATTTCTCTTCTCCGCAGGCCCTCTGTTTACCTCTAAAAAAAGGTCCAATTCGATATGTTGCAGCACTTAAAATCCAAGCTGATAAATTAGGAGGTGAAAAACAAGCAGCAGCCAGGCAGCATGATCTGGAAAACTCGGTGCCGAGTTTCCCCTTGCTGGTGCTGAGGCTCCAGGAAACCCTCTGCTGTGTCAGCACCTTTAGAAACAGAGAAAGTGCCACCTACCGAGCCCCAGAGATGACACTTGATGCTTATAGGGTAAATGCACTGAAGACAGTGAATAAAATGCTAGGAGATCCTGCAGCTGAAGTGTAGCAAATGGAAAGCAAGGATTTGGGATTACTCTTGGCTCGAGAGCCTACATCCCTAGGCATCGTGATCCGCGGGATGTTCCCATGTGTTTCTAATGAAGGGGTATTTGTGGAATTGAACCGCATGCAGCGTGTACCCAGCCAGGACCCCAAAAGGGCAGCTAGGGGTGGAACAGCACCAGCTTCCTGGGGCTGCTGCTTTGGCTGCTGGAGTTATTCCTGCCACTGACTTTGGGTTTTCCTGTTTTAAGGGTCTAGCAGACACCTTCAGAGGTCAAGAGAGGCAGCAATCAGTACGTGAGGCACCATCATGCAGCGCTGAACAAGATGCACGGGATAAAAGCAGTCCCCAGCACTTCCCCAAACCACAAACTACCCAGATACTGCAGTGTCATAGCAACGTGCCAAATCACAGTGTGCATTTTGCAACCACGTCCCCCTGTTTATAACTACCACGGAGTTTCTTAACAGCAGTGCACCAGCACCAAACCTCCCTGAGGAGACCAGCTATCAGATCTACTTTTGCTACCTCATCCGTTTTGAATAAAGCCTAAGAACTCGGGAGTAGGTTTTGGTGACAAGACGGGCTTCGTCACGCTTTTCCTCTGCCCCTCCAACGCACAGATGCCCCATGCTGACCGGCGGAGAGGGGACGGCGGGAGGGAGAGCCCTCTCGACGAGCACCTTGTGGGGTGGAAACAAAAGGAGTTTCTATCGTCTCCACACATGCTTGTTATTTCTAGCAGGTCTGGGCAAATCGTGGCCACGTGCCCAGAGCGGCGTCGGCCCTGTTGATGCGGGGGGAGACGCAGGCAACGCCGGCCCCCCAACACCCGGGAAGAGGCTCCGCAGGGAGCTAATGCTCAAGGAGGGCAGTAATTGCAAGAGAAAATGGTAACGAAGCCGAGCGGCCTGCGTCTCGGGGTGGGCTGCGTTTGGCAGGGGGAATCTAGGTTTTAGGAAAACCTAGCAATAACCTGGCACGGGAGCATTTAGCCTGGTAAGTAAACAAAATAAAATGAGAAGATGGTTCCCTCGTGCTACAAATGGGATGTTTTGGTAATGGCTTCAGTTACTGCCTTGACATCTGAGCCAAAGCAAGGCCAGGGCAGGGTCATTCCTTTCTAGGCTGAGCAGCCCATACTGGCTTTTTTGGGGAATTGTTCAGAAAAAGAGGCTCACTTTTCAAGGGTCTCTTGGATCATGTCCGGAAGCCTTGGCACGGGCTCTGGTATCCGCATGGCACCTGTGCAGAGCAGAGGCAGAAACTGCTCACAAGAGGCTGCAAAGCGGGAAGCTCCGGGGCACCCTCATCCAGGCACGGAGCGTCCCCTTCTCCCGGGGTTTCCTTGCACAACGTTGGACAGGCAGCAAGAGCAATTGGGTTTGATCAGAGCACTGCAACGAAAGCAGAGCTGCTTGTGCAGCGCAGACCTGGGTCAGCAGAACGTGAAGCTCTGCAGAAGTGAAAGGTTTGGAGCTGTTTCCGCAGCACGCACGCTATAAATCAGCTGCAACATCACATGCAATTGCATCAGAAAAAACACTGCATGCCCTCAAAATGTCACACTTGTTTAAAACGAGATTGAGCAAGATTAAAGCGTGCTCACGTCCTGGATCATTCCTGAATGTATCCAGGAGGACTTGAAGGCCTTGGAAGTGACAGGAAAGCTCTCAAGAGAAGCAGAGCTCTGCCAGGAACATCCTAGACATCCCAGCCGGGTGACAGGGGCCCAGAGAGGCAATGGGAGGGATGGCCCCTTGGAGGCTCCTGCTCTGAGCGCGCTGCAGGGAGCCTTTCGCACGACCCACGACTTGCACAACTACCGCGCTCAACACGTTTCCCAACGCCGCTGCTCTCGCACTTCCATTGAAACGCGGCATCGGCA